CACGCATGGTAATTTTCGTTTGAGAGTTTTGGTATTTTGAATTCGTCCAGTGCCGCCATCGTATCGCTTTGCTTCGTCGAGAGCGGTTCGAAGTAGGCTTACAGCGATGAACTTGCGTTGGGTTCCCGTTGCACGTCTTGTGGCACCTGTGTACAGGCACAAGCACCTGTACACAGGTACAGGTGCTTGTGCAGGAACACCTGTACGTGTGTTCCTGCACAAGCAGGAACACACGTACAGGTTTGGCGACGTCTTCCACGAACCGTCGACGCAGTTTTCCTTTGTTCACTTCTTTGCCTAGAAATTCGTCACTGGCGTGTCAATTACTTCTTCCCGACACTTTCGTCACTGGCGCGCACCGAACTGATGTCAGTACTTCTTTCCGACAACCACAGGTGTCGCACGATGATCCGTCCTGCTCGGAAAGTGCAAAGGTCACTTCTTACCGACAACTTCGCTGTACCCACGCTTGGTGTGTGTAGACGTCTTCCGAACATAATACCCCATGGAGTCCGCAGCGAGACCGGTTTTTGGCGACGCTCCGTCCGTCTGACGAAGAACGTGCCACCTTTTACTTTCTTGACGGGCACACACCACTTGTCAGTCACTTCGTCCTTGACAGTTTCACTACACTCACGCCCGTCTAATCTTCTTCAGGCATCGGGACGACGTAACGAAGATGGTGTTGCTTGACAGTTTCTTCTTCAACGTGGTCGTACCTTTTCATCACTCATTAAAGGTGATCCCTCTTCTTCCGAAATAATGGTCGATGTGCCGTCCTGGGCCCATAACCTGTTTGTTTATCTTAAGTGCACAGTATGACCACATTTCTGGGATGTGGATCGAGTGGATTTGGGGATGGGGAAACGACATACAGCTGTCAAGCTGCCATCTGAGAGGGGGAAAATGCAAACAAAAGGGGAACGGCTGCGTGACCTTAGCGCTGGATTCGTGTCGCCATCTGATAACGATCCATTACACTACCAACAGGTATGCCCCTCCCTCCTCCCTTGTGACCCTAGTGACGTCACATGTGATGTCATTATGGGAAACGTCCCAATGGAACGGGCAGTTATCCCAACACCGACGCCACTCACTCCGGAGACGCGCGCCTAAGAGCTGCACTCTAAAAGATATTCTTCATGGGGGCAAAGTGCATGTTGCAGGTGTTGTGGAAGCTTGCCGTCAGTATATGTGCTCTGCAGCTGCGAGCTCAGCTATGGCCGCCAGTCAATACTACCTGTAAAATGAGCTAGATGGTAAAAGCACCTGCACATACATATTTATGTAAGAGACTCTCAGCTTTGTGTATGCATTTTTTTTACTTGGCATCTCAATACAATGGACCCAAAGAAAATGGGTCCCAAAGGAAATGAGGTCCAAGTGTTGTGTTTGTCGCCTTTGGACCTACGGAGATGTAGATTTCTCGGCATAAAACATCAAATTCATATCACTGCTTGCCATGTTTCGGCTTTACTTCATAAGCTTCTAGCCTGTGTATCTTGTGGTGATGGTGCAATGGAAACACAATAACCTATGTATTGTTTGCATTGCTTAACTCTTTTTTTAAATGTACCTTCTAGCATTTGAGCAGTGTACAAGATTAATTCTGCTATCGATAACTGCAGTGTTCTTTCATTAAAAAATACCAACCTTGACTTCTAACTGAAATGACATGGCTCAAAGTTTCAGTGTTCTTGAATGTGCACAGATCCTTCTTGCTTTGAAGTGAACTTGCCGGAATGTTTCCTAGAGTGGGCCCAGTATTTAGTATTTGCATACCCAAGATACAGTTTTGAAATCAATGTTAACTTTGCTAGTAGAACCCCCAATCATGTCAACCTCAAAAGGCTAGACTTGTCTGCATCAAATGGCACATACTGCATTCTAGTATATTTGTAGAAACAGCAGTAACATGACAGCTCACTGGTCCTGTGCCTGTGGAAGACGGCTCTTTTTACATTTTCTTGGGTCATTGGATTTTGTCTGATTGGAGCTAGTGCATTCATTGTTTTGATTTGTTTGTAATAAAAGTTGTCAATCCAGAACTCTTGACAACTTCTATAATTTAGCCAGGAAAATTAGAAGTGAACGAAATTCCATGAGCTCATAAAAGGTGTTCTTGATTATATTAAAATGTTCAAATCCAGAGCTCTTGACTACTACTATAATTCAGCCAGGAAAATAAGAAGTGAAAAAAAATTGATTGAGCATATAGAACATGTGCTTCGTTTTTATGTGCAGTAAAGACCAATTTATAAAAACTCGCCCTTGTGGAAAGCGTCAACTCTGCAGCTAAAAAGTTGTACGTTCTGCAACTTCTTTTTTTTTTTTACTTTTTGTCTCGTGCGTAGCATCGGTTGGTACCGCGAGCAGTACGGATAATATGGATGATTTCTATGGAACGGATGCCGTGCTTTCTTTTTAGCAACTTTTGTAATCTTGTTAAATTTCTCTCGAATTACGCGTTTTCGTTTCTGCATTTCTTACACCAATTCATACTTTTTATCTTTGCACCAAATTACATTCGTCTTTACCTTTGAAGGGACGTACAGTGCTCTTCTTTTTTCTTAGAAAATGCATCGGCACGAACGGACATTTCTGTGGATACCTTTATTTGGCGTACGCACTCAACGTCGACGATGGTGGTGACAGACACGTCCAGAACCGCGGCTTGCTGTCGCTTTTCACGTGTAACCACGGTTTGCACGAAAAACACGACGCAGTTATGAGAATGTCATCGTTTGTCGCTGCCCAAAACGACCGCGGCGTAGCAGAAGCAGACGACCCCGTGTCACATCCACGTCCGGATTCTTAGTTATTCTTCGTTTTCCCTAGATTCCCTCTCGAGGCACCGCTCACTCCGTTGTACCCTGCTGGAAATGGGCGATGTGAAATGAGGCCAAAATTCACATTGAACCAATGTGCAACTGTAGGTCCAGACACATAGAGCAATATGCATTTATGAAACAAAAACCTATGTGCACCAATTGGTAATCCTTCAGGGAATTCACATTGGGCTGAATTGGTAATCCTTTAGGGAATTCACATTGGGCTGATTGCATTTATGAAACAAAAACCAATGAGCAGCAATTGGCAAAAGGTACCCCAGTGCACATTGCATTGAGGGTATTTATGGGGCAGAAACCAATGAGCAGCAATTGGCAACAGGTGCTCCTGTGCACATTGGGTTGATGGTATTTATGGAGCAAAAACTAATGACCGGCTATTGGCAACAGGCCCCCCTGTGCACATTGGATTGATGGTATTTATGGGGCAAAAACCAATAAGCGGCAATTGACGACAGGCACCCCTGTGCACATTGGGTTGATGGCGTTTAGGGGGCGAAAACCAATTAGCGGTAATTGACAACAGGTGCCCCGGTGCACATTGGTTTGATGGTACCCAGTCAACCAGCAACCGTCTATTAAACATCCGAGAGATGTGTTGTTCGGACATTTAACATATCCAGTGGATATCTGCTACGATTCATCCAACACTGAAAGTATCTACTGTGCAGTGCAAAATGGTTCCCCAGAAAACGTACCACTAACGCAATCTGGTTGATGCAGCTGGACATTCAGGACCATTGTAGGATGTTCAGCCTGATCCAGTGGATGTACCATGTACATACCTCAGAAATATTACCTTTCCTGGTATAGGGACCAGCCCTATGCCAGGAGGGCAAGGAAGTGCCTAAGCAGCCTTCATTTTATGCTAGCATATAGCGTGTAAACTGTCCTACAGAAAAATTTAAACGGATAAGAGTCCAATTCTTTACAAAACAAGAGCTCAGAGGGCAGATTTGCTGTATGGCCCGTGCATGCTCTCAATGTATACCTAAATGGCGCATTACAGATGTATAATGTAGCAATCAGGCCCGCAGCAGACATTCTTTATATTGAAGTTTTTTTTTCACCATCAAGCTCAGAAGCTTTACCACAGGATCAATGCAGATGACACTGACAAGGAAGGCGACACTACTGATGCTGACTCCTTTTAGTGAGGTGTACCTCGCCACATGCGAGAGAACTGAAATACTGGACACAACCATTGTCATAAGCTATGACGAACGGCCCTGAGGAATTGACTACTGAAGTCTAAGGCTTCAGTAGTCATATGCTCTAGTGTGTGGCACCGACTGCATGTAGAGGTGTAGAGGTGTAGAGGTGTAGCACCGACTGCATGGCAAAAGATGCGGGTGCAGTCTTGCAGCGTAACTTTGAACGTGAGTAGCGCACTAAACTCCTGCCCAGCCTGTCAGGCATGCACATCCGTTCTGTAGAAAAAGTTGCAGTGCCAAACAAACCGCCATTAACTCTTTATTGTTACTGTTAGACAGACGAGCAGTGCTTGATGCTTTTAAAATAAAGTATAATTTTTGAACAATGCTGCATAGACAGCATGAGGTTTTCAAAATAAAGTATACTTACTGAACAATGCAGGATACTTTGCTTAAAAAAATGTCTGATAAACATAATAAAAAGCTCAGCGCATTCAAGGCCCACTTAAGGCAGTTCACATCTCTCTCTCCTGTGGTGCAGAATGTTCCTGAAAAGCAACGAAAAAATGTTACGTTAAAGATATGTGAGCAGTGGTTTACCATTCTTTGAAACAAAACTAATAAAACAGTGAAGTTCAAAGTGAAGTGACTCAAATATGCAAGAATTGGAACTGATGTAAATAAATCACAAGTATTTTATGCCTTGTTTTGAAAGCACACTCATGCTGGATGTGTGTACTGTATTGCCAACTTTTGTTTGTTAGATTTACATCAAATATCAGTGTTCTTAAAATTCGTTGTGTATGCATTCTTTTTAATCCATAATAAGGTACTATTACATAATGAAATTTTTCCTCTTAGAGAAACACTCCAAACAAAATTTTTTTTATTTAAAATTATTTAATGTTCACACCTGTAGTATTTGCTCTCAAATTAAATTAAAAAAGGTGTCACTGGCTTTAATATTTAAAGCATTCAAATACTCTTATATAGAAATTATGCTTTGAAGAAATTGCACACCATACTTACTGTTCTAGAAAAGTTTGATTTTTGTGCTAACATCAGCTTAATAAGACCAGCTTACCATTTGAGATGACTGATGTCAGGCAGGTGCGTGGCGAAGTTAATCCGTGACCATGGTTCCTACCTTGAAGTCTTCACATTTATGGCAGCTCTGCACTGCATCTGATAAAAAAAAGCAACAGAAGTATGACACCAACAATTCCATAAATCTGGTTCCATGTGAAGCTATCTGCACTACTGTTCCAGAGATTACTTACTTATGATGCACTCAGCAAGGTGAAGGTTCCTGAATGTCAACTTTCTCTTACGTCCTTCTCACGAAAATTTTCGCCCCAACTGGTCAGTCAGCAACCGCTTCGTGATCTGTCTCGTACAGGAAGCATAACCAGATCCGCAGACTTTGCTGAGCTGTCGAACATAAAAAAACATCCACATAGCAACCGCTTAGTGCAATCATAACTATTGATTGGATGTTTCTGTTTATTTTAGTCAACCTTGGCAGGTGTTTATCAGCATCCATTTCTTCATTAAATGTGCTGCAAAAATATTCCAAAAGCCGGGAATCATAATGATAAAAAAAACTGCACCGACTTTACTCAACAAGATTAACAATTTAATCAAACGTTTCGTCTCCCATGTGGGAAACATCGTCGGTGAAACCTTGAAGCAGGAATGAGCGAAAGAAACTTCAACAGTCCTATTTAAGCAAGTCCGCATACACATTGAGGAGGGGGCCGCAGCTGGAGTTACAAGCTGATGAGTCATTTCGGATGAACCATGATTCTACGAACCTGCTTGGACCCCACGTTTGTTCACGCGCCAGAGTGGACGCATTCTCAAAGTCGAAACTGTGTCCCGTATTCCAACAATGGTCTACGAGTTCCGTCTTCGCTCTTGTCGCATGCATGGCCTTTGCCATGTCCCTTTTGTGACTTTCATTTAGCTTTAAACAGCATTGAATCATCAATCCAATTCACACATGAAGTTGAACAGAACGGTGCAAAGCCTTTTCTGTATGTTAATGTGTTCCGAAATAGTACCGGTCGCTTATATACAACAGTGTACCGCAAAGCTGTGATACAGGCAACCTCTTAAGCTTTAACTCGCATCATTCTGTCGAACATAAAAGGGTTGTCGTAAAAAACCTACTACACCGGTCCGAACGCATTTCTTCTAATCCTCAATTGCGCGCTTCTGAGAAAAAAGTCAAATTTGGGGGATTTACGTGCTAAACCAACGACGGGCATCTGGCACGCCCCAGCGGAGGACTGAGGATTAATTTAGACTACCTGATGATCTTTTGACGTGCAACCGAAAGCTCGGTTACACGGCGCCTGCTCCGCAATAAGCCTCCGCCAGATGGGGATCCGTAGGCCAGCGCTCTCGCCTCGGAGCCACCGAGGCGGCTTGCGCGCTTCTGAGGATGCTGTCATTGTTGACCTGCTGATGAAGCGGAATTATCCGAAACGTTTTATTGATAACACGCACAAACAGATGGGACAAAGAAGTCAGGATAATGGACAACTTAGGACAGGGCAAGCAACAATACCCTATTTGAGAGGTGCTTTTGAGTCCATTCGCAGGGCCCTCGCCCCTTTGAATATCCGCACAGCTTTCAAACCCCACCATAAACTATGTGACTTCATTTCTAAACCTAAAGATTACACCCCCCCAGAGTCCCAGTGCGGTGTTGTGTATAAAGTGAACTGTCTAGACTGTGACACATCCTACATTGGGGAGACAGGCTGGAAGCGCTGCACTCGCCTAAACAAACACAGCGAAGACGGAACTCGTAGACCATTGTTGGAATACGGGTCACAGTTTCGACTTTGAGAATGCGTCCACTCTGGCGTGTGAACAAAGGTGGGGTCCACGAAGGTTGGTGGAATCATGGTTCATCTGAAGTGACTCATCAGCTTGCAACTCCAACCGCGGCCCCCTCCCCCGATGTTTATGCGGACTTGCTTAAATAAGATTGTTGAAGTTTTTTCGCTCATTCCTGCTTGAAGGTTTCACTGATGATGTTCCCCGCATGGGAGACGAAACGCTTGATTAAATTGTTAATCTTGTTGAGTAAAGTCGGCGCAGTTTTTTTATCATTAAATTTGCTACTAATATTTATACCTGCTCTTATTGAGGCCCTTCCGACATTTAAACTGAGAAATTTTGACGTCTTTATCTCAATATGGCGATTGGATTAAAGATTATACCACTGGGCACGGGCTTGGGCTTACCCGAAAGCCCAGGCCTGGGATGGGCTCGGACTTTTGACTGTGGGCCCGGGCCGGGCTTGGGCCAGCACGTTAAATGGCCTGGTTCGGGTTCGGGCCAGCTGTAATTGACCATGATGCTGACAGAGGCGATCGTAGAAATCGGCGTTTCGGTTATCTCAGCAACATCAACTCCAGAACCACTAGACAAGTACCCATGAACGTAGGCCCACCTTAAGACAGTGGACGGCAGCGTCGTTAATCATGAGGTGAGCTTCAGGTTAATCCCAGTGGCGTGATGTTTTTGCTTGTGGTGATAAATAGCGGCAAACCAAAAATAAACGGACATCGAAGCGCTCTGTCAGGAATTAAAAATGGGGGACTCAAAAACATTAACGCTAAACAATCTCAACCTAATTGATCATGAGAAACACTTATCTCTCTCGAATAATAGCTGGGAAGCGCTAACATAGCGGCAATGATGTAGTGGGGAAGCTTACAGGCCTAGTAAACAATTATGCACATACTGGGGAATGCCTGGCACATATTCAGGTATGAATACATGCTCAGATCTACAAAATATTTTAGGAGAAGATACAAACTGCAAATTAGTAGTCTTTCTTAGAAAACACATTGACGTATCTTAATCACAGTGCTAAAACCCATAAAAACACTTGATTACAATTATTTTAATAAAAAAAAGTTCTGAATATGTACATGACACCAGCAGTCATAACTTTAAATTAGTTCACCGCAAGCTATATTTCTCTGGCAGCAAACGAAGACAAACATTTTAACTGTGCAGTGAACCAGAATTAATACAATACGACGAAGTTTCCGTATACCACTTTAAAATGACCACAAACAACGCTTTTCAGATCAGTATGTTTTGCTATAAAAGGCTTATTATAAAGCCATAGTCCTTACAGTATATTATGAAGCTTTCAGTCTTGCTGCATCCAATTGTGGCTTTGCTTAGCCTTTGTGCGGTTTGAAGGTCTGCCGGTTACAATTCGCCAAGGAGGCCATCTGTGGCGGAGATAATTACCAAACCTTACCGGATGAACATTGATTCCCTCTTCTATTTGAGAACTTTCGTGTGTGAAGTCTTGTTGAGCCAGATGCCATTGCCAATGCACACATAGAAGACATAAACTTCAGTTCATCTTTGAAGCAGCACTATGTACAGGAAATTTACCAGCGCAATATTCGTGACTCCAGCGAAATCGACGCCGCGTAGCGGCAGCGCCGAGAAGCTCAGGAGAGGAGGTTGTCCCGACTCTGTCGTCTGCTATCGCTGATTGGTTCTCGTAGGCAGCATAGAAACAAACATTGTTTCCAGTAATTATTTTAATGATTCCACCGGGTCCTTCCTACGCACTGAGTAGACGAACGTTTCTAGGGTCGAAAAATCGCTTTCCACTCAAATGCAACACCGATTTTACGCTGCAGTGCAGGAATTTGTGATGGTCGGCATGCTGAACAACGAAAACGACCTTCTTTCGTCCGAATTTTGCCTGAGCAGCGCGCCATCTATAGTTCGCTGGAGTCGCGAATAACCTGGACTGGGATTGAAAACAGGGGTCCTATTTGTCAACGGCATGCCTCAAAATTAATTTTGTTGATGAAAAAAAAAATTATAGCAATATTTACGCGGCAAAACGCAATTTGAGTTTGGCACAAAACCGAACCGGTGTAACTAGCAGGTATCCTTCTTACCTCATTACTGTCAGAGTTAACGATTTGAATGATCCGACGTGATCCCTCACCCTCCTCCTCTTCTTCATCTCCTCTCTCTCCCCCAACAAACTAAGAAACAAACGAACACGCACGCACGCACGCACACACACACACATACCTCTTCTCCAAATAGGCACAGACTGCGCCACGCCTTGACAGATATAATTCATTCTAACCTTAAGCCTATCAGCACAGAAAAAATGTTAAAACACATAACCTTTACCTAGTTTCTGGGCATATGAAAACAAACACACGGCAGCCCTATCAATGAAATTCCTTGTACTAGTGGCGGCATAACTAAAGAAAATCTCAAATTTAAAATACGTCTTATGAATTGCTTCGCAAGCGCGAAAATGAAATTACAATTACCTGTCTCATACAAGCTTCCTCCAGCACTCCCGGGCAGTCACTCATCTCGTCGGAGGTACTAGCACCCGCTTACGCGCTTACTGTCACTGGGTTTCCGCGTCACTCTGCGATCCTGAAACAACCGGCGCCGAGAGTTACTCCCACATATTGTGCTTAAAGCTGCAATTTTTAACTTAAAGGAGATGGTCACTAGACTGGGCACAACGCGTGTGGAGACTAGAACTTACCAAACAACTTTAGGATCCGCGCCTTGAAGAAGTCCGATTCCGTTTCGTTCCAAGGCTTGAAGGGCAGAAATTTGAGGTGATATGTGGCTCATGGTCGTCCTCAAGACGTACGCTTGCATAATCGTTCGTAAAATTCCGGCCGCTCAACTGGTCTCGACTCTGCAACGTGCTTCAAGCGGTTAGACTTCCCGCGAACGTTGCTTCGGCAGCTTCGGTTCTTCTTCCGCGCTTCCTTGTCCCCCGGCCGGACCGTTCAGTTTATCACGTCGGACCACTTCCTGACGCAGGGGATGTATCACGTGACTATAATACTTCGTATTTTAACTCTTGTTTTTGTTTGCTGAAGTAAACGAATACTTAAAAACTTTACTTATTGACATTAATTTAGCAAAAAATTTGCATAAATTGCACTTTGAAAACTTAGTTTGGTTTTATATGTCATGCGGGATGCATGCGGGTGACCTCACTGTTCACTCTATTGACTCCAGCTCACTCTATATTGTCACGTGGTGTAACCCGCAACAAGCCCGCAAGTGTGACTGATGCACTTAAGAAAATAATAAACGTTTCTAAAAATTATGGTATTATTTAATTGTCAAATGTAAATACTGAATATATATTAAACTTATAACGGAGTAATTTTTATTTGTCATTTTAATTAGAAAATTGCATTTGCTGCGGGACGACGTCGGTGCGAATTTTAAAATTTGGATTTGAGACACGTAGGGTGTCGCGCTGTGCGACCATGAACCCAAACAAAAAAATATACTTGGAGCCACTAAGTATACCCAGCTTGCCAAGGACAACAGTCCTGAGACGAAGTTGTGTCCTGAAAAATGCTACAACAGGCCAGGGACCAGAACCAACGTCGCCGACAGCAGTTTCTGTAAGCTCGGTTGTCTCGGAACACGGTGAGACAAAAACTCCCCGTGAACTAAGTAGTACCAATGAAACCAGAAGCGGTCACAGTACTGGGCCAGTTAGTGAAGACACAAGTGATAAAATTGTGAAAGTGACGGGAGATTTGAAGACCAATTTCCTGTCCAAGTTTCCGAAAAGGCTACTGCCAAAGACGAATGTAACGAGTCTGACGTACCCTGTTTCGGCTGGCCTTCATTTTAATTGGACGCAAAATGAAGGGCTTTTGAATCTCGAAAACTTCATTGCGGGAGTGTACACTCTTCCCGGCATCAAGGAAAACTACAACATTGGGAAGCCAGAAGCCAAACTAAAGGCCCAAACTGCCAACAAGCACGTAAAATGCCTTTCAAAAAGGAACTTCCTTGCTCAACTACAAAGTGGAAAGCGCTGCCTGACACTTACTGTGCGTGAAACAAGGTGCAATCATAATTTCAGGAAGGTCATCCTTATTTCGTGTATGTGTGTGTGTGCGCGCATTTTATGTGCTTTTTTTTTTTAATGACTTCTATGGTGTTAATTATTGGATGTTATTCGGCACTACCGGCTTTTCTTTTCTGTTAATAAAAAGCGTGCCCACGATAGAATGTGCACGTGATCTGCCGCCCCAGAACGAGCGCGTAGCCTCGACTAGGGCTCAAACAGGATACGTTCACATGGCAAAATGGAAGCCTGAAGTATCGCATTTTTCCGCCAACTCCGCCGAAGTTTTAAAGTCCCGACGTCGGAAGTCGGAGAGCTTTGGACCAATCGTGAAAGATGATAATAGGATTTTTGAGTCAGTGTTATTCTGTTTTTGACCCGGTTTTACTCTGATTTGCTCGGTTCTGGAGCAAAATTTATACAAAAACGAGAACGTTCCACTCCGAAACCAGGTAAAACTGAATAAAACGGAGCAAAGTATAATGTGAATACATAATCCAGTTGGTGCAATCGTTTATGCTATTACTGTTACTGAAACATCCTGGAAAACAAAAGGACAGAATACATCGCTAAAACTGCAGAGTTCCGATGATACCTGAATTTCGTGGCTTGCCTATATATAATTCTTCATGAATCTTGTGCATACTATGTGCACACACAATGTTCCCGTTCCCCATATTCTTTTCTTTATGTTTTACTGGCAGCCGCATGTTTTATAATACGAAGGAGGACAGTACGTAATCAGGAAATTCTAAAACACGAGACAAAAAAGAGTTCATATTCACTTTATTAACTGAATGTTTTATTTAATTAGTGTCTACATGGCCCAACCCAAGTTATATAGCTAAAAAAAATGTTTATTTGACAGAGAGGAACCCATCGGGCACGCACGTATCTGCACGGGGGGGGGGGGGGGGGGAACCATGGGACCCCCCCCCCCCTCCTCCCAAACCTTTCATTTGGTGAGGCCTCCTTTCCCCCCTCCCCCTCATACTGTATTTTGTCATGGGCGAATCAAAATCCTGGCTGCGTGCCTGCCATCGGGTATATTTGCGGCAAAAATTATTTTCCTGTGCTCAAAACATAAAACTTTAGTATATAACAACTCTAATTTCTCCACTAAGCATACTGTTTAACCTGATAGATGCCCACTTAATAGATTTTATGTTCTGTATTCCCAGTCGACCATTAAAAGTTCTCGATCCGAAATGCATTTCATTTCACCAATGAAGCTTTCAGTTTAACCAGTACAACTTGTTATTGATCCTATTGAAGGACCAATAGGCACTTGTATTCCGGACCAGAAAACATTCGTGTTGTTCCCATAGAAGTTTCTATCTTGTCCCATAGAAGTTCCTGCTTGTCCCACAGAAGTTCCTAATGGTACAAGAGAAGTCTGTATTGGTACGATATAGCTTG